GGCGGGACCAAGAGCAGGGCCTCTTCAGATGATCTTAAAGTCCTTACAGGTTCATAAGGGGAGATTCGTTCGGACAGGTAAGTTGGGCCAGAACCATTTAGGGCTTTATAGGCTAAAGCCAGCACTTTGAATTGTGCCCGGTAGCAAACTGGCAGCCAGTGGAGCTGGCGCAACGAGGGAGTTGCATGCTCCCTGAGAGCCGCTCCTGTTAGCGATCTGGCTGCTGTCCGTTGGACCAGTTGAGGCTTCCGGACAGTCTTCAAAGGCAACCCCACATAGAGAGCGTTGCAGTAGTCTATACGTGATGTAACAAGAGCGTGGACTACCGTGGCCAAGTCAGACTTCCCAAGGTACGGGCGCAGCTGGTGCACAAAAATGGCCCCCACCCTCCTCTCTTTCAAAAAGTTACTAAAAACATACCTCTGCACTTTGGCGTACAGGCGGGAGGAGGACTAGGACACTTTAGCAATGCCATTGAAAAGCAGGCTGTCCTATCTGTACTTTGTGGCCATTATGGCACAGTTAAGAACAACTAACAACCAATGCTTACCCAATTTTTAACTGTGCTGGCTATTTTAGATGTTTTACTGTTGATCATGCATTTAAATGTATTTGTTTAGGGACTAGTTTTTCTATGTTTTTATCCTGATATTTATCTTTATTTGATTCATACAATGATGTTATTATTTTGCATTGTTTTATTGCTGTAATGTTTGGTATATGTTGGCCACTGAATGTTTGCCTTTGTATGTGTAAACCACCCTGAGTCCCCCTGGGGAGATAGGGGGAGTCGAAAAGATTATTATTATTATTATTATTATTATTATTATTATTTTACTGACACAAAAACACAGTATATCACAGCAAACGTGATCTATAGGCTGGATTTCGTATCATAAAATCACAAGTCGAACACTTCCCAAGCATCTAGGACTGTGTGATGTATTTCCGAATGATGTGCGCAGATCCAAGTAAGGTAGCCTTTTTCAGTTGACAGATTGTGATTTTGTCAATGTATATTGTTTCCAAATGCCGGCTGAGATCTTTTGGCACGGCACCCAGTGTGCCGATGACCACTGGGACCACCTGTACTGGTTTATGCCAGAGCCTTTGCAGTTCGATTTTGAGGTCCTGATAACGGCTGAGCTTTTCCAGTTGTTTTTCCTCAATGCGAGTGTTACCTGGCATGGAGACATCAATAATCCATACTTTTTTCTTTTCCACAATCGTGATGTCTGGTATATTGTGTTCCAAAACTTTGTCAGTCTGGATTCAAAGGTCCCACAGTATTTTTGCGTGTTCATTTTCCACTACCTTTGCAGGTTTAAGATCCCACCAATTCTTTAGTGCTGGTAGTACTTGGGAAGTCGGATCTGGCCACGGTGGTCCACGCTCTTGTTACATCCCGATTAGATTACTGCAACGCACTCTATGTGGGGTTGCCTTTGAAGACTGRTCYGAAACTRCAACTAGTRCAGCGYGAGGCAGCCAGAMTYCTRACKGGAGCGMCATACAGGGAGCATACCACCCSCCTGRTGTGTCAGCTCCACTGGCTGCCGATCCAATTCCGAGCACAATTCAAAGTGCTGGTTTTGACCTACAAAACCKTATWCGYCTCTGGCCCAGTGTATRTGTCCGAACGGATCTCCCTTTACGTCCCACCCCYGAYTTTAAGATCMGCCGGGGYGGSSGGGCTGCTCTCGACCCCYCCYGTGTCACAAGTGAGGRTGGRGGGGACGAGGAGCAGGGCCTTCTCGGTGGCYGCCCCCTGCCTGTGGAACTCGCTTCCCGGGGAAATCAGAACAGCGACCTCACTCCTCTCCTTTAGGAGAAAACTCAAAACATGGATGTGGGACCATTCGTTTGGTCAAACGAGCAGGTAAAGAATCGTCACTATCTAGGAAAGGCATAATGGAATGAGATCTGGAGCCCGGAAAGACGAATGCTGAACACATGAATTGTCCTATATGTTGTGATATATATTGTGTTAATGATTGTTAATTGCATTGTGGTTTTATCTATGATTACTGTTTTAATTGTTTTAATTATGATTGTCATTTTGTAGAACTGTAATTGTATGGGCGCGGAATGGTGCCTTGTTGTGTAAGCCGCCCTGAGTCCCCCCTTGGGGGTGAGAAGGGCGGGGTATAAGTGCCGGTAATAAATAAATAAATAAATAAATAAATTGTGACATAAATTCCAGTGAATCACCATCATGATATTGTTGTTTTTAAATTGTTTTAAAATTGTTTAAAATTATTTTTTTWAATTGTGTTAGATTTTAGCCTGTTGTGGTAAGCTGCTCCAAGCCCCAGGGGAGTGGCGGCATATAAGTTTGAATTATAAATTATAAATTARAAATAAATCGTCATCATCATCATCATCATCATCATCATCATCATCATCATCATTTTCTTGCCCCTTTCTTTAACTTGGTCTCATATGCCTGCTTCCTTCCACACATGAATTACCGTATATACTCGAGTATAAGCCGACCCGACTATAAGCCGAGGCACCTAATTTTACGACAAAAAACTGGGAAAACATATTGACTCAAGTATTAGCAGAAGGTGGGAAATGCAGCCGCCATGGGTAAATTTCAAAATAAAAATAGATACCAATACAATTACATTAATTGAGGCATCAGGAGGTGAAATGTTTTTGAATATTTACATAAAACTGTAATTAGAGATAAGACTGCCCAACTCTGATTAAATCATTATTCTAACCTTCTTCAGTGTAAATGTACTTATGTATCCTTCCAACATAATAGAGGAAAAGAATAAATGTAATAATAATAATAATAAAGTAAAATAATGGAAATGCAATAATAACAGTAATAATAGAGTAAAATAGTAAATGTAATAATAGAGTAAAATGATAAATGCAATACTAATAAAGTAAAATAATAAATCTAATAATCATCATAAATAGTGTAAAATACTAATAAAAGTAATAGAGTAACATACTGTAAATGTTATAATAATAGAGTAAAATAATACATGAAATAAAAATAATACTAATAACAGATTAAAATAATAAATAACCTTGACTCGAGTATAAGCCGAGGGGAGCTTTTTCAGTCTAAAAAAGGGGCTGAAAAACTAGACTTATACTCGATCCTATCTCCCCTCCACACTTGCTTCCATGGAAATATTGCAATGATCACACGTCCCTTAATCCTCGCCACTGCACCGCAGACAGAAACTCTTTTATTGCCTACTGTATATGCCATGGGGCTTTTGCTTTCACAGATGGGGTGTGATAGATTAAAATATTCAAAGAGCTTATGAACTCCTAAGTTTGTTGAGTAGGCATTTCACTTGCAGAGACCTTAAAAGTCGGATGTCAGCCTGGGGAACCAGTCAGGTCTTCTGAAAGCCTGTGACTACCCTCGGCACCAACACATACCTGGAGTTGGCCTAAGTCAATCAATCAGTCTTTATTATGGTCCAAAGACCTAGTTTTCTCAGCATAAAAGTGCATAGCAGATTCATAAACTGATAATAAATGTAAAGCTTTTCCCCTGACATTAAGTCTAGTTGTGTCAGACTCTGGGGGTTGCTGCTCATCTCCACTTCTAAGCCGAAGAGCTGGTGTTTTCTGTAGACACCTCCAAGGTAATTTGGGCAGCATGACTGCATGGAGCACTGTTACCTTCCCTCAGAAGCGGTACCTATTGATCCACTCACATTTGCATGTTTTTGAATTGCTAGTTTGGCAGAAGCAGGAGTTCATGCTGCTCCCCGGATTTGAACCACCGACTGTTTGGTCAGCAAGTTCAGCAGCTCAGCAGTTTAATCTGCTGCACCACTGGGGGCGCCTTTTATAAACTTATAAGACCACTTACAGATAGGATGAGTGCAATGCTAGATGTTTATGAACAAAGGCAAAAACACTACAAATACATACAAGGCAAGTTTCAGCCTGAGTCTAATACAGGAAGTTGTTTTATCCTGGCTATCTCAGAGCGAAACTTGGCAACAGGCAAGATCACATGGGGGAAATTGTCACCTAGTAAAAACTTTACTTGGAATTGAGCAGATATACCGGGTTTCGCCTGCATCTATGGCAAGCATCGTCAGAGGTGAGGACCTCACCTCTGAGGATGCTTGCCACAGATGCAGGTGAAACGTCAGGAGAAATGCCTCCAGAACATGGCCATATAGCCCAAAAACACCCACAAGAACTTAGTGATTCCAGCCATGAAAGCCTTCGACAATACAATATCCTTAATTTTTAAAAAGTCTAAAAACATGCCTAAAATTTAATTTTAAAACTGAGCACTTTTAGTCACTAAAGCTCATGTGCAACCAGCTTGGTATTATGAAATGAGGCAAGTATGTCCTAGGCTAGGAGAATAAATAAAGCTGAAATGAAGAAATGAGACAATAGTATTAGATGGGGAATACACAACACCAAATCCAAGTAGTGACATGATGTGATATGAGACAGAGATCATGTTTGACCATGATTAAGCATGGTTATTTGAATTCTTAAACTGGGATGAAGCAAAGCCTGCAAACCAGGATCGAGATGGCTTTACCAACCATTGCTATCCTCTGTGGCTCACCAAGATAACCTTTTGTCCCCTATCCTACATGCAGAAGATGGTGGGGAGAGTCATGTCACTCTCTTCTTAAACCTGCTTTCCAAAGTAAAATCCTATCTTACCAAGCTAAATCATGGTGTATGGGTTTTCAAATGTGAAGAGACAGACTTAATTATTTTCCCTGCAGGACTTGAATAGTTTGGACATGTTTTTGAAGATATTAGTATCATAGAAGAAATATATATATATATTGAAATGCCATCAAAAATATCTCTTAATATTATATTTTAAAAGGAATTTTAGCACTGGGATGCCAATAAACAAACTTCCTACTGTGATCTGTTCTGATTCCCCATCACAAAACCACGACATATTCTCCGCAAACAGTGATGGCTTGGATCCCCCAGGACCAAGGAAACCAGAAAGCAATGAGAAGTCCCATCCATACCTTCAATGCCGCACGAGGTCCCACCTCTGTCGGTCCGCCTGTCACTTGCTTGGGACGAGGGCCACGCTCCGCAGACGGATGGAGAACGCGAACTGTCAACGCAAGGGAAGAGAAACACAAGTGAAGGGAGACCTTTCTGAACTGCTCCCCCTTGAATAAGCTGAGCCTCTCCCCTCTTCCTGCCCTTGCTTTGCCCTATAAGAATGACTGACAAGCCCAGATTTAACTAAGGGATTTTGTGGGTTTAAAGCATGTGACCATTTTCCTCCTGTTTTGTCCATTAACCCCTTTTCAAAAATATATAACTCATTTTTTTCCCTCTACAGTGTTTGCGTTCTCTCCCCCCCCCCCCCCCCCCTTCTTGACTTTTCTTCAAGCAGGATCCATACAGCAGTAACTCAGAAGGGCCTTTGGGTACCATCTCTTCCCCAGGCATTGGCAACCGGCCCTATGAGTCTCACCTGAAGAATAGCAGCCAAGTTTAACATAAGGTGAGTGATGAAGGAAGCCAGATACAGCAGAAAGGAAGGAGGGGAGCAGTTTCAAAGCTTGCTTGCTTGCTTGCTTTTAACATTCTTTTCATTACATCAAGGATAAGCAACTCAAGGTCTCAATATCTGCACCCATGTTCCATCCACATTGTCAAACCAGGGTCAACAAGGAAGTCTCCAAGAACAACAATTTAGTGTCTAAGCCAATGATTCTCAACCTGAGGGTCGGGACCCCTGGGGAGGTTGCAAGGGGGTATCACAGGGGTCACCAAAGACCATCAGAAAACACAGTGGGCTGTTGTAGGTTTTTTGGGCTTTATGGCCATGCTCTAGAAACATTCTTTCCTGACATTTCGCCTGCATCTATGGCAAGCATAGACCTCACAACTTCTGAGGATGCTTGCCACAGATGCAGGCGAAACATCAGGGGAGAATACTTCTAGAACATGGCCATATAGCCTGAAAAACCTACAACAACCCAGTGATTCCCATACCTTGGGAAGTCTGACTTGGCCACGGTGGTCCACGCTTTGGTTACATCCCATTTAGATTACTGCAACGCTCTCTACGTGGGGCGGCCTCTGAAGTCTGTCCGGAAGCTGCAGCTAGTCCAACGCTCGGCAGCCAGATTACTAACGGGTGCTGGGTACAGGGAGCATACAACCCCTCTTATAAACATTTCTGCACAGCATTTCTAATTCACAGTGGCATCCATCTTTGCAATACATAGAAGCACATTTAAAACACATACATATCTAAATTAATCCTGACACAATGGACTTGAACCAATCTTAGCACACAGAGCTCCCATGACCAACAGAAAATACTGGAAGGGTTTGGTGGGCATTGACCTTGAGTTTTGTAGTTGTAGTTCACCTACACCCAGAGAGCACTGTGGACTCAAACAATGATGGATCTAGACAAAAGTTGGCACAGTTACTCAATATACGCAAATATAAACACTGGTGGAGTTTGGGGAAAATAGATCTTGACATTTGGGAGTAGTAGTTGCTGGGATTTATAGTTCACCCACAACCGAAGAGCATTCTTAACCCCACCAATGATAGAATTGGGCTAAACTTCTCACACAGAACCCCTGTATTGTCGAAGGTTTTATTTATTTATTTAAAAGTTTTCTATACCGATCTTCTCACCTCCAGGAGGGACTCAGATCCGGTTCACAACTTGTGTTCATATACAAAATACAAACCACACAATGCATTATCATTACACGTTAAAAACATATTACAATACAACATCGTCATCATCACAATTACACAGCCAGGTCATCAAAAACATTCATGGTCATAATTCACAGTTAATCATTCTCCTTCCATGTGGACCAGAGTTGACTCAGTTGTCAAAGGCCGCATTCCATAGCCAAGTCTTTGTTAATTTCCTGAATGTCAGGAGGGAGGGAGCCGTTCTAATCTCCTGTGGGAGGGAGTTCCAACGCCGGGGAGCCACCATCGAGAAGGCCCTGTCTCCCGTCCCCACCAACGCGATTGTGACAGTGGTGGGATCGAGAGCAGGGCCCCCCCCGGCAGATCTTAAAAACCTTGATGGTTCATAGGGGAGAATTCGTTCAGACAGGTAAACAGGACCAGAGTCGTTTAGGGCTTTGTAAGTCAAAACCAGCACTTTGAATTGTGCTTGGAAGCTAATCGGCAGCCAGTGGAGCTGGTGTGGTCCAGCACTTCTGTGTTCTCAAATAATATGCTGTGTCCGGGTTGGTTCATCAGCTGCTCTACAAGAGGGATCCTCTCACCTCTGCAGGAGTCTACCATGTACCATGCAGCTGTGGACAAGTCTACATAGGGACCACCAAACGCAGCGCCCAGACACGCATCAAGGAACATGAAAGGCACTGCAGACTACTCCAACCAGAGAAATCAGCCATAGCAGAGCACCTGATGAGCCAACCTGGACACAGCATATTATTTGAGAACACAGAAGTGCTGGACCACTCTCACAACCACCATGTCAGACTACACAGAGAAGCCATTGAAATCCACAAGCATGTGGACAATTTCAACAGAAAGGAGAAACCATGAAAATGAACAAAATCTGGCTACCAGTATTAAAAAACTCAAAAATTACAACAGCAAAACAACAGAGGGGAAACAAACAGGCACATAAAATCACTCTCAACAAAAGATTCCCCCAGGCACTTCCAAGCCATTGAATGCTAATCAAGGTGATCAGCTGAAACATTCACATCTAGCCCCAGCAGACAAAAGTCCTTTGTCTCACCCTGGTCATTCCACAGATATATAAACCCATTTTTCCTACTTCCAACAGACCTCACTACCTCTGAGGATGCTTGCCATAGATGCAGGCGAAACGTCAGGAGAAAAATGCCTCTAGAACATGGCCATATAGCCCAAAAAAACCTACAACAACCCAGTCCTTCCTAATGTTCAGGTGTAATCTCCTTTCCTATAGTTTGAAGCCATTGTTCAAGCCCGGAAAAACCTACAACAACCCAGTGATTCCGGCCATGAAAGCCTTCGACAATACATGATCACGGCTATTTATTTATTATTATTTATTTAAAACATTTATATTCTGCCCTTCTCACCCCGAAGGGGACTCAGGGCGGAGCACACCATATAAAATAAATAAATAAATAAATAAATAAATAAATAAATAAATAAATAAATAATATATACGGCAAACATTCAGTGCCGGGACACAAATTCATATACGCATACATAAACATTAAAAACATTGATCTCAGTATTAAAATACACCATTAGGAAGGTTGGGAGCCACTGCATTATTCCATAGCATTGGCCCATGGCAGTTAAAGTAGCCAAATTAATTCTACAGTGTAGATGTACTTACAGACAATGCTTTGTTTCACTTGTTGCAGTAATTTGGGGAAAGTCAACCCATGAGTTCGACAATGACCCAATGTATAACCCAATATAATTGGACATTTTTCTCTCTGTTTATCCAGGAAGTCTATGAACCATTACATTGACTATGCTCCAGCTACTGCTTGTGCTCAAATGGCTGATAGAGTGTTGAACTTTATTAAAACATATGTCTGGAATCGGTTCTAAGCTCCCAGAAAGAAGTCTACCTTGCAACGAATGTGTTCGCGTGGTGTTCACTTTACAACTGCTAAAAAGTCTGTCAAAGTTTCCATTGTAAAGCCAGTATTTTCAGGGGTTTTAAGCTTCGCTAATAAAAATGTAAAAATATGAAAATTCTATTCGAGACTTGGGTAAATGGGGCTTTTGTGTCTAAGCCCGGCTAAAATTCTTCCGATCCAGCATAAAGTGAGGGTTAGCGAGATGGGGGTAAAGGAAGAGAGTGAAGGAGAACTTCTTTGAAAAGGAGGGTTCCTTATTTTTCCCATTTTCAAATTCAAACTTGTGTTTGGAGGGCTGTGCTTTGAAGAGCGGTTGTGTAAGAGCAGACGTTTTCCAAGCCCCGTATTATGTCCAAAAAGTGGGTTATACGGTTTCCAATGAATCATCTTAGCCTGGCAAAGTTCCCATAGGCTGTACTGTAGAAGCTGCATATTATTTTGCCTACTTGTTAAAGGGGCAGTTCGGCAAACCCCACGGGGGCTTTATGGCTTCATAAAGAGACTTCCAAAATTGCTAGGGGCTATGTTCGGAAGTGAGCAGTGCTTGCCACAGCTTCTGGCTCTCTAAAATATGAAAAGAACAGACAGTGTATTCATGCTATTTGGGGCAGGACAACTTCAAATGATGAAGTCTACCATGGTCATGCGGGCAGAGCGTTTAGAGCAAGTCCCTGAATGATTTTGGCTTTTCCAGAGGAAAAACGTGTGCTCCAGCCTGGAGCTGATGCCTTCTGTTGTTTGGGATGATTGGCAAAGCAGTACCAGTCCTATTTGTGCTCTGTTAAATGCCTAGCTCTTGGCCCATCAACATCCCAGATTTAACACCATCCAGGAAGAATTTCTTAGGTGTAGGGTGACTTGAAGGTCTCTCGTTCTTAGGGTTGCCATAAGTCGAAGTCAACTTGAAGGCACTCAACATTAACAAAGCCAGTTTGGCACACCAGGTATGCTGAATTCCTCGTCATCAGACAACATGACTAAAGCTGATGGGAGCTGTGATACAGTCACATCTGGAAGGGTGCAGTTTGTTCTGTCAGGATAGTGGAGTTTGAATTTGGAGGATATGATGCACGACATTAAAATGTCCTTTAACCTTTTCTCAACCGCACGGCCACAAGGGCTATTCAGTTGCAATTCCCATTATCCCCAGTCCACATGGCAGATAACCAAAAGGGATGGGAGTTGTTGTTCAGTAACATCTTGGGACCCAAATTAGGCAAAACAAAAGAGCACTGATCACTAGGTAAAAAATATAGGGTTGTTGTAGGTTTTTTCGGGCTATATGGCCATGGTCTAGAGGCATTCTCTCCTGAAGTTTCACCTGCATCTATGGCAAGCATCCTCAGAGATAGTGGATACAGAAGACCAAAAATATAGTTGGTCTTCTGTATCCACAGACTCTCCAGCCATGGATTCAACAGCCCTATGAAGACAACCATAAGGCTTTTTTCCCTGTGTCATTAGTGACTTGAGAAACTGGAACCATAAGGCTGAAGTGGCC